GGATTTAAATAATCCCCACTTCATTAAAATAAACATAGCCACCTCACTGTGCCGACGATCAGCTGATCCAGCACAGCGCGGCAGTCTAGACGCGGCGCGGGCGACAAAGGAAGCCTTTGTCAACCGCTCCAGTATGCCTCGTGAAACGGCTTCCTTTGTCGACCGCACCGCGTCTAGACTGCCACACTGTGTCGGATCAGCTGATCGTCGGCACAGCACGGAGGCCATTTTTATTGTAATGAAGTGGGGATTATTTAAATCCTCGCTTCTTTGCCTATGCCGAATAAACTAATTTACATGGCTCTGTTAACGGAGCCATGTAGTCTAGGCATAGCCTTAGAGATGAAAACAAGTCAGAAACTAAATCAGTGTCAGGGCTGCCACATTTCTGTAGGGCCTTCAAAAATTACACCACTTAAAGGCTCCTTGGAAGCACAAACTCTTTCTTTCAAAAGAACAGAAAAAATCCAGTTTTCTTATCAGGCCAAGCTGGATGTGAAGTTGTTCTCAAACCTAAAACAATGCCATTATCTCATACACAGAACCCAAGAATGAGAGCTAGTTTTTAAAAAAGATTTGGAAAATATCCAATAGCTATGCCACTAACTTTTGTAAGGGAAAAATTCATGTGAATCAGCATTATACTGTTAATGTGGGGCTCAGGCTAAATCTACATTGGCACTTTACAGTGCTGTAATCCTGTCCTATCCCTCCTCCCCACGCAATCACAGGAAATTACAGTGCTATAAAACACCAGTGAGAACCAGGCTACAGCGCTGTGAGCCAAGATCGCTGAGAGGACGCGGTCTACATAGGAGCACTGGGAGAGCTTTCCCCCAATGCCCGTGCCGTGGCCACACCTTCAGTGTGCAGAGCTGCACTTAAAACTCTTAAATGTAGACAAACCCTCAGTATTATCACTGCTCAGAGATCAAGCACCAGGTTTATGTCCTTTGTCTGACTTCAGGACTCAGGAGACCCAAGAGCTTGCCAATTTTAGGTTTTAGCTACACTTGCAATTGATAGACTAATCTTGAGGTTCACAGGTGCTTAAAAAACACCCTCCCCCTCCACAATGACAAAAGTTTTGCTGCAGCAAGTGTGAAGCAAAAGCTACTAGTGGGGACCGGAATATTTTGTGCAAAATCTCCAACAAAGTGCATTCACAGGTGCTGACTTGTCGGGGCAGGGCTATGTTGACACAGCCTTGTCAACTAAAAGCTGTGTAGTGTGGACCTAGCTAAAAGCTGTGTAGTGTGGACGTCCAGTTTTAAAGCCAAAAAGATATAAATCCATGGTACGCCCACATTTTGAATACTGCATACAAATGTGGTCTACTCATCCCAAAAAAGATATACTGGCATTAGAAAAGATCCAGAGAAGGGCAACTAAAATGATTAGGGATTTGGAACAGGTCCCATATGAGGCGAGATTAAAGAGACTGGGACTTTCAGCTTGGAAAAGAGGAGACTAAGGGGGGATAGGATAGAGGTCTATAAAATCATGAGTGGTGTGGAGAAAGGGAATAAGGAAAAGTTATTTATTTGTTCCCATAATATAAGAACTAGGGAACACCAAATGAAACTAACGGGCAGCAGATTTAAAACAAATAAAAGGAAGTTCTTCTTCACACAGCGCATAGTCAATCTGTGGAACTCCTTGCCTGAGGAGGTTGTGAAGGCTAGGACTGTAACAGGGTTTAAAAGAGAACTAGATGAATTCATGGAGGTTAAGTCCATAAATGGTTATTAGCCAGTATGGGTAAGGAATGGCGTCCCTAGACTGTTTTTCAGAGGGTGAAGATGGATGGCAGGAGAGAGGTCGCTTGATTATTACCTGTTTGATTCACTCCCTCTGAGGCACCTGGCATTGGCCACTGTCGGCAGACAGGGTACTGGGCTGGATGGACCTTTGGTCTGACCCAGTATGGCCGTTCTTATGTTAAGTAAAATTTTTGGTAGAAATGTTGCCGTGTAGGAGTGTTAGTCTGGTGCTGCTGAAACAAAAAACAGGACTGTGTAGCACTTTAAAGACTAACAAGATGGTTTAATAGGTGATGAGCTTTCGTGGGCCTGAGGAAGTGGGTCTGACCCACAAAAGCTCATCACCTATTAAACCATCTTGTTAGTCTTTAAAGTGCTACACAGTCCTGTTTTTTAAAATTATTGGTTACTCCTCATACAATTGAAATTTACCTTAAAAGTATTACAGTCCTGATAAATCAGCCACTCCTCCATTTAGTCCAGGAGCCCTTATTTTCACTCTTTGACTGATGAAGTATTTCTTATTTGGAAACCTGCATTCACAAGTTTTCTGATCAGATACAAACGATTTCTGAATGCTTTCGGATACCTCCCATATGCTGATGACACAGCTGGATGTGATGTTTTTAAGAGGAAAGTTATGTTTGGGCTGTTAAAAGCTGGCCTGCACCCAACCTGAGAGATTTTTGCAACAACTTTTTCTGCTATGTAAATCAACTGCATTTTTGTCTCCCTTCTAGTTTCTTATGCGCAGATGTGAAGTTAGTGCCAGTGAAAGGTGCATGATGGGCAGCCTTGAATCCTGAAGACTGCTGTTTATCCTCTGATAGAAGCAGCAACAGCACAAATTTCTCTAACATGCCTCAATCCTGACATATGGGGACCATCATTAGGAGTGGAAGTATACAAGTCCAAAAAATAGCATATTCAAATCTTGACCCCTCTGCTGAGACATTCAAGCTGTCAGCAAAGGTGTAAAACGCTCATGCAAGGCCAACATTTGTCTGCTGGGAACCAGACTAAAGCTAAGTCTATGCTGGCACTTTACAGCACTGTAACTTTCTGGTTCGGATGTGGAAAAAGACTCTCCAAGTGTAAAACACCACTGTGAACCAGGCTACCGTGCTGTTAGCTACTCATCTTGGGGAGCATGGAGGTGGTTTATACTGAGAGGCTTCTCTCTAAGCCTTTGTGCTATGGCCACACTTAGGCTGTGTCTAGACTGGCAAGTTTTTCCGCAAAATCAGCCACTTTTCTGGAAAAGCTTGCCAGCTGTCTAAACTGGCCGCTTGAATTTCCACAAAAGCACTGACGATCTCATGGAAGATTATCAGTGTTTTTGAGGAAATACTATGCTGCTCCCATTCAGGCAAAAGTCCTTTTGCGCAAAACGTTTGCGCAAAAGGGCCAGTGTAGACAGCTGAGTTTTGTTTTCCGCAAAAAAGCCCCGATCGCGAAAATGGCCAGTCTAGATGTAGTCCGGAAAATCATGCCAGTCTAGATGTAGCCTTACAGTTTAAAGCGCTACCATAGCTGCACTTTGTACTTTTTAAGTGTAGACTAAGAGGAGGAAAAGAAGTGACTAGAGAGCAAGGCATTCAACTGTCATACTTTCACACTCTCTTTTTGCCAAGACATGATGAAATAGTTCTCTCTCCAAGAATGTGTCACTTCTCAAAACAGTTTTGTCACTATAGTTATTTTTCTATATAAAAGATAAATTTATAAAAGCAATTTTTCCTTTTCATCTTTCCTCCTTATACTTTGGGACAGCGCCGCTTGCATTGGAGAGGTAGCTTGAAAAAAAACAAATCTAAAAGGCTGTCCTGTCACAAACCAAATACACAAAGAGGCGTTGGAATTACAATTCATCCACAAATTCAGTTCCTCCACTGATCACCTTCTCAATCGAAATAATGAATGGCTGGGACATTATCAACCTAACATTCAATGAAGATGCCAACAGCTCTTTCTCTGTGTAGATTCTTGCGTTAGTACCCTTCATATCTAATTGCTATCCTTTGATCCTTATCTGCTTCTTTTTAACTATCCAATCTACAGGTGCTTATAGATTACCAGTTCTGCCTACTTGTTTTTCCTTTTGATATTTTCATATCCTCTGCTCCTTGTTTCCTACCCCCTTCTTTTTTTTTTTCCCCCTTCCTCTGCTTTCTCTGTGTAGATTCTTGCGTTAGTACCCTTCATATCTAATTGCTATCCTTTGATCCTTATCTGCTTCTTTTTAACTATCCAATCTACAGGTGCTTATAGATTACCAGTTCTGCCTACTTGTTTTTCCTTTTGATATTTTCATATCCTCTGCTCCTTGTTTCCTACCCCCTTCTTTTTTTTTTTCCCCCTTCCTCTGCTAGCGCCACATAACCAGCCCCCAGTTCCTTCTCCCGTATTTATTTCGCGTCTGCACAACCTAAACTCAAAACTCCAGTCTGAAGAAGCAGGTTGTGCCCATGAAAGCACATGATACCATCTACATGCTTTGTTAGTCTATAAAGTGCTACCAGACCATTTGTTGTTTTTTAAATTCATCCTGTACAGACTAAGTCGGCTACCCTCTGAAGCTTCTAAATTAAATCTGAAATTTCCCAAACAGACTAAGTCAGTATCCAAAATAAACAATGAAATAATCCCCAGGTGGTGAATAGTTGGCATTTGTTTTGAAATAAACGGAGGATTGAGATGGCCATACAATCATCTCTGAAAGCAATGGGTTCCAGAGTAAGTTCCATGTGCCATCCTCACACATCAATTCAATGTAACCCACAAGTAAGATTCTCAAAATTGATGAGCATTTTTCTCCTAAAGGTGCTGGAAACTTCTAAGTGTTATAGTTTATAAACGCATGTTATAATTCAGGGGTAGTCATTTTATGTGTGTCAGACTCCACCGAAGATAAATTTTAAAAATAATGATATGTAATAAAAAAGAATCCAGGGTCCATTCAAAAGCATTTGGTAGTCCAGATTTGGCCCATCTGCCTACTAGCCCTGGCACAATGACTGAAGATCTACCATGCGACAAACTGTTCACATGCAACGTATGTGAAATTTAAAGCATCATGAACTAAAATGGGGTCAAAATGACTAATCAAAGCCAACAGATTATAGGCCCTACCTGTGCCTTCCAAAAGATTTTGCAGGGTGGTAAGTTTGCTGTAATGCTTTCTTTGCTTCTGGGAAGGAGGGGGAACAAAACCAGACCATTTCAGCTTTGCCTTACCTGCAATTGCAGCTTCATCCAGATGGGAACCTGGGGGCCTCTCCCCCTGCCCTTGGTGCAGAAGAAAACCACACAGGATCCACACTGCTACTCTTGACCACACATCCATTTCAGTGCAGTATTAAGGCCTTTGTCCCTTTGTATGTCAGCTCTTCCTCAGCATCAGTCTCCAATGGATATGTTCAAGTTTCTTAGTTCACTCTGAACCAGATTTTCTCTTTGCACCTTTATATCCCAAAATGGTGTAGGAAGTAAAGTGTCTGATATCCGATGAGTGGTGCCAGATTAATTCCAAAGGCTACAGAAGTAAAGGATGGAGATACTTTGAGGTTCTTTTCCCCCACCCAGCATACATTGAAATTTTGCCCTAGGTCTATAGTGTCTCCCCAAAACAGCTTCACAATTAAATTTATTTCCAAATAAAGCAGATTTTAATTAGCCTCTCTAGCCCTAAAGAAAGTTCTCTCAAGTCTTAAAACTAGCTAAGATAAAAAAATTACTAAAATGTTTGGTATTAAAAAGTTAAAAAAAAATCATGAATGATTTACCAGCAGAGTCTCTGTGGCTCAAAATGCTGCAGCATCCAAGTTTTAACTATTCAGTAAAGCACAGCCTCAATTCACTTGCAGATTCTGAACCGTTTAGAAAGACTAAAATAAACCAAACTTGTTTAAAAGGAATTTTTTTGGTCAGCTAAATATGCATGTGGCAACTTAAAGCTTTAATTTAAATTTCATAAAACATGCATTTTAATCCAATACCTTTAAAGAGCAAGATATTTGCTAAGACACTAATGCACACTCTTTTAGAGATGTAGAGAAGAAACCTTAAAAAGCTTCCATGCCACAGTTTTTTTAGAACAGAAGAAAAAATAAAAACATGCCAAAACAATGACACCTTATTCAGCTGGAGGCTAACAGAGGTGGAGACCTGCCAGCTACCAGGTAAACTATCCCTTTCTTTGCTAGCACTCCCTTATAAAAAAAAAAAAAAAAAAGGGGTCAATCGCCCACAACGGGTTCCTCTGCTCCCACCTCAGCAGCACGAAACTGCAGTAGTTTTAAACCTGTTTCAGGGGTGTCTTATCTGTGGTCTCTCCGGGTTAGTATCTCTACCCAGGGCAGATTTCTCAATTCAATCCAAAAGGCATCTGAACCATTTAATCCAAACTTTGGTTTTCACTCAGTTTTGACCAAGCTTTCTTTACGAACGCCAGCAAATCTCAGTTTATCTTTGGGATTTCCAGGTCACTGTATTTTATCAGCAGCTCTTCTCCAACTCAACAATTTGCTGGAATCTCTCTTCGTTTGGCCCAGTTTATTTCCAGCACAGCTCTCTTTCTAGAGTTGTGTGATGATCTAGCCTAGGCCTCTCAGCTATGATAGGCTATTTTAGGCTATTTTTCCTTTTATCCCCATTTAAATCAAGGCAACTGTTCAATCACGGATTTTCCTAGGAAAGTCTTTTCGAGGATAAGGTAAGAAATCCCAATAGTTCCCAGGCCAGCTCTCACTCGTCAGACCTAGAGCCTATCAGGAGAGTTCAACTCCAGTCTTCTCCCGGAACAGCGGCTGATCCAGTAGGCCTGCCTTCTCCCTGGATTAGCCCCCCTTGCTCCTGGGGCTGCTCTCACTTGGCAGGCCTGGAATGTCTGGGACAGATCCAGATCATTAATGCTGGTTCCAGTCCCTCTGACCAGAACCTTCCCCCCCTTCCACAATTCTTCCCTTCCCCCACAGACCCTCAGCAATGGTCTCAGCCACACTAACCCTTAACCTCCCCCCTACCCCGTTAAAACTGTCTCACTAACCCTCATCCTTCCCCTACCCTGCTAGCAATGGTGTCACCTGCACTAACCCTTAACCTCTCCCCTCAGTCCATAAGCAATGGTCTCACCCACCCTAACCCTTAACCTCCCCCCTCAGCAATGGTCTCACCCACACTAACCCCTAACCTCCCCCTGTTCCCCTCAGCAATGGTCTCACCCACACTAACTTAGGCTCTCCCCATAACCCCTCAGTAATAGTCTCACCTGCACTAACCCTTAACCTCCCCCTGCGCCCCTCAGCAATGGTCTCACCCGCACTAACCCTTAACCTCCCCCTGTGCCCCTCAGCAATGGTCTCACCCGCACTAACCCTTAACCTCCCCCTGCGCCCCTCAACAATGGTCTCACCCACACTAACCCTTAACCTCCCCCTGCGCCCCTCAGCAATGGTCTCACCCGCACTAACCCTTAACCTCCCCCTGCGCCCCTCAACAATGGTCTCACCCACACTAACCCTTAACCTCCCCCTGCGCCCCTCAGCAATGGTCTCACCCGCACTAACCCTTAACCTCCCCCTGCGCCCCTCAACAATGGTCTCACCCACACTAACCCTTAACCTCCCCCTGCGCCCCTCAGCAATGGTCTCACCCGCACTAACCCTTAACCTCCCCCTGCGCCCCTCAACAATGGTCTCACCCACACTAACCCTTAACCTCCCCCTGCGCCCCTCAGCAATGGTCTCACCCGCACTAACCCTTAACCTCCCCCTGCGCCCCTCAACAATGGTCTCACCCACACTAACCCTTAACCTCCCCCTGCGCCCCTCAGCAATGGTCTCACCCGCACTAACCCTTAACCTCCCCCTGCGCCCCTCAACAATGGTCTCACCCACACTAACCCTTAACCTCCCCCTGCGCCCCTCAGCAATGGTCTCACCCGCACTAACCCTTAACCTCCCCCTGCGCCCCTCAACAATGGTCTCACCCACACTAACCCTTAACCTCCCCCTGCGCCCCTCAGCAATGGTCTCACCCGCACTAACCCTTAACCTCCCCCTGCGCCCCTCAACAATGGTCTCACCCACAGAGCACCCCATGCTCCTGCTCTGGCTGCAGTGAGCACGGGGGAGCTTAGAGCAGGCAGGACTTAACACAAGAACGGCCGTACTGGGTCAGACCAAAGGTCCATCTAGCCCAGTATCCTATCTGCCGACAGTGGCCAGCACCAGGTGCCCCAGAGAGGGTGGACCGAAGACAATGATCAAGCGATTTGTCTCCTGCCATCTCTCTCCAGCCTCTGACAAACAGAGGCCCAGGACACCATTTTATCCCCTGGCTAATAGCCTTTTATGGACCTAACCTCCATGAAATTATCTAGCTTCTCTTTAAACTCTGTTATAGTCCTAGCCTTCCCAGCCTCCTCTGGCAAGGAGTTCCACAGGTTGACTACACGCTGTGTGAAGAAGAACTTTCACATATTAGTTTTAAACCTGCTATCCGTGCTGCCACCCCACTGGAAATGTGCCCTAGCAGAAAGCTCCTGCAGACTTTTGGCCAGTCTCCTGCGGGCAGGGCAGTAAGCCCGACTGCTCAAACACTAGGCAACATCCTGGGGGGACCTGCCACCGCTCCCACATCTTTGGCTGAAAGGGGCCCGGTGCAGTAACTCCTCGCTTCAAGTGATAGTTCTGTTCCTCAAGGCTGCTACTTTAAGCCACACAATGTTAAGTGAATCCAATTCCTCTGTGAGAATTCATGTAAATGGGTTTTTTTTATTGACAGATAAGTTGTTTAAGTTTTAAATAATTTTAAGCAATGTAGCCCTCTATTCACCAATGATGAGTGTGAAGCATGGGTGAGGCAGGGGGTGTAGTGGGGTCAGGGCACAGGGGACAGCCCTCCTCTGCCTGCTGGCGTTCCAGCTGGGGTGCAGGGTTAGGTCTGTGGGCTTGCCCCATTCTGCCCACCCAGGGCTTCTGCCAGAAAGTGGAGTGCCTGCTCCCCACCTGAAATGCTGGGCAGGCAGAGGGGGGAGGGGGGTAAGCCCCTTCATCCCAACCCTGCTCCCCAACTGGAACACTGGGCAGGCAGAGCAGCGCAAGCCAGACAACCTTATAACAGAACATTGCCTGATTTTAAACAGGTATGTTCTCTACTAGATCACCAAACAGTGCTAACTGGGACAACTTTAAGTGCTAGAAATGTAGCCGGGTTAGTCTGGTGCAGCTGAAACAAAAAACAGGACTGTGTAGCACTTTAAAGACTAACCAAGATGGTTTAATAGCCAGACCCACTTCCTCAGATCAAATAGTGGAAGAAAATTGTTACAACCATATATACCAAAGGATACAAATAAAAAAAGTGAACACACATGAAAAGGACAAATCAAATTTCAGAACAGAAGGGGGATGGAAGGGGGAAGGGGGGGAGGAGAATGTCTGTGAGCTAATGATATTAGAGGTGATAATTGGGGAAGCTATCTTTGTAATGGGTAAGATAATTAGCGTCTTTATTCAAATTTGAGTGTAAAGTGTCGAATTTAAGCATGAATGACAGTTCAGAGGATTCTCTTTGAAGTGAAGTCCTAAAAAGTCTTTTAAGCAGCATGCAGGTAATCAAGTCATTGACTTTAAGTGCGGCATTACTGTATCTCTACATCGGGGGTGGGGAACCTTTTTGGGGTCAGGGAGCCACTGTCCCATAGAAAAATCAGTTAGGGGCCGCACACAAGTGAGAAGCTAAAAAACCAAAACTCCTCACTGATGTGGCGCCCGACTAAAAAGGAGAAAGACACTCCTCTCCATACCTGAGTCAGGGGGGGCCCAGGCTAATAGATTTGGTGTGCTCTAGCCCCATGGTGGAGTGCCAGGGGGGCTGGAGTGCCAACGCGACGTCCCCAATGCTTGGGGTGACCTTGAGCCTCGGGGGCCAGATCCAGGCAATTCGGAGGCCACATCCAGCCCCTGGATTCTCCGCCCCTGCTCTACATACTCTAAGGCTGTGTCTACATTGGGCTCTTAAAATCAGGAATAAGGGATCTTCTGGAAAAGGCTTTATTTTCCGAAAGATCCCGTCTAGACTGGCGCTTTTCTCCGGCAAACCCCCGAGCGGGAAAAAGGCGGCAGCCATGTTCATGCGAATGCCGCGGGGGATATTTAAATCCCCCGCGGCATTTGCAATTCCGACTTGTCTCATTAGCATCCCTTTTCCGGAAAAGGGTGCCAATGTAGACACAGCCTAAGGCTACATCTACACTGGCAGCTTCTTGAGCAAGAACAGCCGTTCTTCCGCAAAAACTTGCCAGCTGTCTACACTGCACGAGCATTCTTCCAGAAGTAAATTTACAGTAAAGCGTTGTAAAACAGGGCTTCTTCCGGAAGAGTTATTCCTCTCCCCATGAGGAATAAGCCCTCTTGCGCAAGAGCTCTTCCAGAAGAGGCCAGTGTAGACAGGCAACATGAATTTCTTGTGCAAGAAGCCTCTATGGTTAAAACGGCCATCAGAGCTTTCTCGCACAAGAGAGCATCTACACTGCCATGGATGCTCTTGTGCAAAAGCACATCTCTTGCGCAAAAACACATGGCAGTGTAGATGCTCTCTCGTGGAAGAGTTTTCGCACAAGAACTCTTCCGCAAAAGAGTTCTTGCGCAAGAAGCTGCCACTGTAGACGTAACCTTAGTGTAGAGAAGTCACAAAAACTAACTGCAGGTTCCTCAGGCCCAGCTATGTGATTGCTAGGTAGAAAGGTGGTAGTCGGAGATGACAATATTTTCCAAAAGGCATTGAGCAGGACACACTGACTCGAAAGTGCTGCAAGTCTTCCAGTCTCCTGGGATGGGCTAACCGCCCCCCCCCCGCCCCCCCGCAAACAAAAAAGAACCAATCAGAGACATGCCCTTGCGATAGGGAGCTTGCCTGACATTGCCTCCTGGCCAGAAGGAGCAGTACTAATGAGGAGCCATTAGTCACCCAGGCCTTATGAGCAGCCTGAGGGAACTTGGGGGGAAGTGAGAGGGTGAAGGGGACGGGAAGCTCCTGCAGGGGAAAGCCCAGCAGTTTGGAGCTCGCAGAGTCACCTAAGTAGCGCTGACTCCTGTTGTGAGCTCCTGGAAAGGGGACTAGGTGTTGGGGCTGGATGAGAGATCCACACGGAGGAGGGCAGGCTCCGGGGGTGGGGTGGGGGAGCTTGGGCTATGGCCTACAGGGAGCAGAGAAATCCCTAACGGCAGCTGCCAGAGCTCCTGGGGAAAGGAGGCAATGGGGGAATCCCGCTGAGGAAAAACAAGATGTGGGAGGGAGCGGGACCAAGAAATTCAGTGACCCCCCTCTCCTCAAGAGAGGTAGAAGAACCTCTAGAGTGAATATCTGAGTTGGGCTTTCACTTAGACCTTGTGTTACCATGAAGGGGCTTGAACTTTCTAATGACTTGGCTAGAGGGCCGGGCCACACACTAGTCCATCACGTTTGTGCAACTAGAAGACAGAATTGTGGCTTTGATGATGAAAGCATGGCATTTGCCAGTCTTAGGGCCCAACCTAATCAAGTATTTCAGGTGTGGAGGCCATCACCAACTCGTACCATGTTGGCTGCAGCTGTCGTTTTAACAACACTGCCGTACTTGGCAAATGACATTCTTCTACAGTTGGACGTGTGTGGGTTGTATTCTTGGTTTTGCTCCACCGTGACCATAAAATTGGTGTACAAACATATTTTGTACTAACTTTGATTCTCAGTAGGCCCTTCGCAGAATTTAATAACATTCCTCTCTCTTTTTTTTTTAGCTGCTACTGTACTTGTGTGAAAGCTGCTTGGTGATTAGTGACAATATTAATTGTTTGCAGGAGCAAAAGATATTAGATTACTATTGGCTATTACTGGTGAGCAAATGTGTCAAAAAGATACAAGCGTCTTCGAG